CAGCTGGGACGGGAGAATGGACACACACCATGAAAACCCATTCCATTGGGCATTTCCGAAAGAGCATAAGCTGCATGACCACCCAATGGAGACAACAGAGATGGAAATGCCACTTGGTAAAAAATAAAAATAAAAATAAAAATAAAATGAAAGATGTCAGTGGAAGAAGCAGAAGTCTGGCGCACAAATGCAGAAGCATGACGCGCACAACTGCTTTGCTTCAGGCAAGCTGGCACACAGGGAGTGAACCAAACAACACCCAGTCCCATGCTGCAAATACAACACTGTCGAAATGGAAAAAGCAAGGGTGCATCTTCCTCAGAAAGTGGCCACATGCATACATTACTTACTTACTATTCATTGGGAATCGTGATGGATGCATCTTGCCGCTCTCTGCGGGTACATGCACTCTTGCTTTTTTTTTTGTGTTTCGACCGTAGTGTGGCGAGGCCCTTACTTCAGATAAAGCAACTCACCTTCTCTCTCTTTCTTTATTTATTATTATTATTTTTTTTCCTGAAATGGTAATCAAGTTGAGCACTCTCTCTCTCTCTCTCTTTTTTTTTTTTCCTGAAACAGTAATCGAGTTGAGGACTGACAAGCAATTGAATGCCGTCAGTCGGCCATTTGCCGTAACTTGGCATTGAGCAGAACCTACTAACGGAAAAGTGTATGTGCCATGAGCCCCTTAGCAAGGGGATTATCTACAGAAGGGGGAGTGGGGGGGAAGGGGAGGAAAGGAACCGGCTGGGGATAGGCGGATTGCAATATACACAAAGGTAACAAAACACTGACACTATGGATGGGCCTATCCCATCAGACGTGGAGGAGAAGGAGGAGGAGAAGGAAATTCCATGAAAGGGGTATCGAAAATTGAGTCCATGTCAATTGCACGGTCAAGATCTTCTCCATTTGATGAAGGGGCAGGTGCAGGGGTAGGCGACTCAGACGCTGAAGGAGGGGGGCTACCTTGTGCATCGGCACCCATCCCTTCATGCAGGAATGGAAGTACTGTCGATGAAGTTTCAGTCTTGGAAAACTTGGATAGAGACGACAGTGTCGTTGCCGATACCCAGTCCGATGAAGGGAGGGTTGGGGTCGTCGTCGTCGTCGTCGTCGTTGCCGATTCCCGCGTTGATACCTCCGGAATTAACCACGACGAGGAGGACGACAATCCTGACGACGACGGTAAAGTTGGTGAACCACCACCATTGCGTCCTACTCCAGGCAGATGTGGGAGGGGGATAATGTTGTCCACCAACACGTTTGTGGAGAATGACGGTGGCGATCGGGTTAAAAACGAAGGTGGCGACGAAGTCTGTGATGACGAAAGAGGGGGTGAAAGAGGGGCTGGTTGCGAGGGCTCAGAGTGGGGGATCCGTTGGGAGTCCACGTCCGATGGTGGTGGCATGGGAGAAACTACTGTTGGTGCAGCTGGCGGCAGCAGCGACCCCCCTAGCATGATTTGAGGCCCATCATTAGGGTTACGGACATCCCGCAACGGCGACGCGTGCGGCGGTTCTGGTGGTGGTTGCAGTTGTTGTGGGAATGTAGGTTGCAGAGCTAGGAGTTGTGGTGGTTGCAGTGCAGGTGGAGGTATTGGCTGCAGAAAGGACGCGGTTGGCCGGGACAATGGGTTGTGCGATGGTGCATACCTTACTCCGGAGTTGCCCGCGCTTTCGGCAACGATGCCCTGTGCAAGGCCGGCAAGAACAGGATTTGGTGGTGGGGACGCAGCACGCAGACGGGCATCATCTCCTCCGGAGTTGATCGGTGGAGCCAGGGGGATAACCCGGGGGGGGTGTAATGGCCATTTGTTCGTTGGGGGCGATTGCCCAAGGCGTGTGAGTTGGTCTCGCGCCTGATCTTCGTTCGGTTGACTTTGCCATGCCATGATTTCTGTGGGCTTCAACGCAAAAGGAGGAGGGCTGGGGAAGTTAGTCATGGTGGAAAGTTGAGGTGACCGTTGGTATGGTTGGGCCGCACTCAATGGATGGATTGGCAAACGCCACAGCTCTGCGCCGGCGGATGGCTGATATGGTGATGGGAGAAGGGAGGTGGTGGTGGTGGTGATGGGAGAAGGGAGGTGCTGAAAAGCACGTTCCTGAGAAATGCTCTGGCCAACGATTCCGGGAAATGTTAGCTGAGTTGTGTGCACAGGCGACTGCTCTGTTGTTTGGAAAGCAGGTGGCTGCTGGGTCGGTTGGGCAGGCGGTTGTTGGGAGCGAGGAAGCTGATCGATTCTAGATGATGATGATGATGATGGTATCGTCGGGAGTGATTGGCCCTGTGCGAGGTGCGGTGTGGGTGGCGGCAGCGATCTTGATGGTATTGCTGACGAGGAGGACGGTGGAACGTGAGCTGGAGGCCATGGCGAAGGGGACAAAGGAAGCGGTGATGGAGACGGTGGTGGCGGAGATGGCCATGGAGAAGGTGGTGGCGACGGTAAACGTGGTGGTGGTGCTGCTGTTGGCGGTGGCGGTGGCGGTGGCGATTCTTCGGCAACCGGCTTGCTTGGAGGGGCAGGGGGTGAATTGACAGTTTGTTGCAAGAATGGTGGCTGCGGAGGAGTGTTTGCAAAAGCGGGGAGTTGCTGCGAAGTCGTCAGGCCATCGATGACAGGACCAGGAGGGCCCTGCGCAGGTGGACTGCAAGCACAGCGTTGACTGCACGTTCCCTGCATGCTCTTGCCACCTGAAGCACAGCACTTGAAACATGGTTCACAGGTTCCCGTCGTGAACTGACAATATGTCAAACTGTTGCATGAGCTATCGGACGTGCAGCCAGCTTCACGTGGCGTGCTGCAAAGATCTCCGCTCCATTCTGGCCTGCAATGCTCATCCACCACAGTGATGTAAAACCACAGACAGAGTAAAACCACAGACAGAGTAAGAACACAGAAAGAGTAAGAACACAGACACAGTAAAAACACAGACACAGTAAAAAGACAGACACAGTAAAAACACAGACACAGTAAAAACACAGACACAGTAAAAACACAGACACAGTAAAAAACACAGACAGTAAAAACACAGACACAGTAAAAACACAGACACAGTAAAAACACAGACACAGTAAAAACACAGACACAGTAAGAACACAGAACGAGTACGAACATAGGGAGTAACGACACAGTAAGAGTACGAACACAGACAGAGTAAAAACACAGACAAAGTAGGAAGTACTAGGAACACAGACAAAGAACACAGAGTACACACACTAACAAAGTAAGAACACAGAAAGAAGAGCACATACTGTCTAAGTCTCTGTCAGGCAGAGAAAGCAATAGTAAAAGATAAGAAAGAGAAAAAACACAAAAGAGCACGGACGATGAAAGAAGTACTAAGAACACAGACAACATCAGAAAACACAGACAAAGTAAGCACACCCAGGCAGTCGGTGAGACCTGTTAGGGAAAACCAGGGAAGCGAAAAAGTGTGAACTCTCGACAACGTTGATGGCAAATTGATACAGGGGGGCGTTAACCACTTAGGCAGGGGGCAGGGGTGGGGTATATGACCGTATATCCTATCCTTCCCAGGGGGGAAGTAATCAATGCCGCCCGCTCGCGCCTGCCAACCATAATGGGGCGGAGCGTAGAGTGAGTACATCATGAATTCCTTTTTTTCTCTTTATGTATTCCTTTTTGACATGCCGGTGGAATAGGAACCGGACTGATGTTCCCCAGAATGGATAAGGAGCCGGAACCGTAAGGTTCTGCTTTTTGTTTGTTGGTTGGTTGGTTCGTTGGTTGATTGGTTGGTTGATTGGTTGGTTGGTTGGTTTGTTTGTTTGTTTGTTTGTTTGTTTGTTTGTTTGTTTGTTTGTTTGTTTGTTTGGTTAAAGGATGGGAGTGTTAACCAAGTCATGTCAGCAAACCAGGGATCGTTAACGACAGAAAAAAGGACAAAGAAGAAGATAGAGGAGACAAAAAAGAAGATTGAGGAGACAAACAGAACGGAAAAAAGTTCAAAAAGGATAGTTGTTCTTCGTTGGAGCTTGAAAGAAGGAGAACAAAACAAGGAAGAGAAGCACCTGAAGGCTGAAACTTGATTGCCCTTTGTTTTCCTTCCTGTTTTTCTTT